AGGTATGTAATAAGCCGCCTAACTATTTTTCTTTACGTGTGTTTGGTTGTACCTGCTTTGTTTTGTTTTCTAGTGTTCTTTGTACCAAACTTTCTACCTGTTTAGCTTTATGTGTATTTCTAGGTTATGGTGAGGGTCAAAAAGGGTATCGTTGTTATGATCCCATCACCCACAAATTTTATGTCTCTCGTCATGTTGTCTTTATGGAGCATATTCCCTTCTTTTCAATTCCATCTAGTTCTTCCTCATTGAATAAGTCTGATCTGCTATACATTGATCTCTTTCCTACATATGTTCCTCATGACACATATGTTGGTGATTTACTTGTGTCAGATCCTTCATCTTATGAGTCGACTATTACTCGTCCCCCTATTGTACATACATATGTTCGCAGGACTCCAGTTATCTCCTCTCCGGATGCAATGCCTCCCTTTTCCCCTCCGGCCACCCAATTAGGTTCAGACACTGTGAATCATACCCCACACTATCCTCAGCGCTCTCGCAAATGTCCCGACTGGTTTGGTTGGAGTAATACTTGTTATTCTTCTGACTTTTATTCTTTCCTTACTTCTATTCATTCTCTATCTGAACCCACCTCCTACCAGGAGGCTTTACTTGATTCACTTTAGAAGCAGGCTATGGATGAAGAGTTGTTTACCTTATATAAGACCAGAGCTTGAGAGCTAGTGCCTTTACCGCATGGTAAACGCACCATTAGTTATAAGTGAGTTTATAACATAAAAACCAAATCGGATGGTACTATGGAACGATATAAAGCTTGATTAGTAGCCAAGAGATTTGCTTAGGAATATAGTCTAGATTATGATGAGACTTTTGCTCCTATTGCCAATTGACTACTGTTCGCACCGTGATTGCAGTTACTATCATTCAACAAAAGAGTTTGTCTCAAATGGATGTGAAAAATATATTTCTACATGGAGATTTAACTGAAGAGGTTTTTATGACACCTCCCCTGGATTATCTTATAGTTTTGGTCAAGTATGTCGATTTTATCGTGCCTTATATGGTCTTAAACAAGCTCCCAGAGCATGATTTGCCAAATTTTCTGATCTGTGACTTGAGNACAAGCATCTCAAGCCAATAAATCAAACCACCAATCCAGCAACTACACAACCCAAATTCTATAACTTTCAAAAGTCTAGAAGACAATCAGAAGCAGCAAAACAATAAGACAGTAGCAAAACACCAAAAAGGCACTAAAAATCGAACTCCAACACTGTNAGGTTCTATTATTCTCTTATTATATGTTGATGATATAATTATTACGGGTGATGACACTGCCGGCATATGCATATTGAAAACCCAGTTGTAGGACGATTTTGAGATCAAAGATTTGGGACANTAACAATCCACCAATCACTAGCCCTCAAATCACACAACTCAAGAATATATTCTTCCTCCAACTAAATTACTATGGTGGTACAATATAGATTTTGGATCGAAACCATGCAGTGATACCATGTTAACTTTGACCAATCATAGAAAAGTAAGAGAAAGAAGAACAAAATATTATTAAGGCACAATAAGTCAGAACAACCTTAAAAGAAAACTACATATAAGAGGTCTTTATATAGTAAACTAAGCTAAGGCAACATAAAAAAAAACAAATAACTAAACTACCCCTAAGTCTAAATATAATAACTATTCTAACAGATGCAAGTTGGCTAAATTTAGTACATTGTCATTTAATAAAAGTGTTACGTGTTCTCTTACACTATTTGATCTTGTTCACCCTGATATTTGGGGACTAGCTCTTATTCCTACACAAGGAGGGTCCAAATATTATGTTTCATTTATTAATGATTACACGAGGTACTGTCGGGTATTCTTGATAAAACGTCGGTCTGAATTCTTTTCCATCTTAACTACCTTTCGTAACATGATATGCACTCAATATTCTGCAATCAGTAAATATTTTCGATGTGATCAAGNCCAAATATTATGTTTCATTTATTAATGATTACACGAGGTACTGTCGGGTATTCTTGATAAAACGTCGGTCTGAATTCTTTTCCATCTTAACTACCTTTCGTAACATGATATGCACTCAATATTCTACAATCAGTAAATGTTTTCGATGTGATCAAGAAGGTGAATATACTCTTACTTCTTTTCATGATTTGTTGAAATTTGATTGTACACTTTATCAATCCTTTTGCACTGACACGCCTAAGCAAAATGGTATTACCGAACAAAAACACCGTCATATTCTAGAGACTGCACGTTCCCTTCTATTATCAGCACATGTTCCTAACTCATTTTGGGGGAAAGCAATTTTGACAGCAATTCATTTAATCAACATCATTCCTACTATTCTTCCNGCAAAATGGTATTACCGAACAAAAACACCGTCATATTCTAGAGACTGCACGTTCCCTACTATTATCAGCACATGTTCCTAACTCATTTTGGGGGAAAACAATTTTGACAGCAATTCATTTGATCAACATCATTCCTACTATTCTTACCCCAGGAGCTCTCCATTTGAACAGGTATGTAATAAGCCGCCTAACTATTTTTCTTTACGTGTGTTTGGTTGTACCTGCTTTGTTTTGTTCCCTAGTGTTCTTTGTACCAAACTTTCTACCTGTTTAGCTTTGTGTATTTCTAGGTTATGGTGAGGGTCAAAAAGGGTATCGTTGTTATGATCCCATCACCCACAAACTATATGTCTGTNCCCAGGAGCTCTCCATTTGAACAGGTATGTAATAAGCCGCCTAACTATTTTTCTTTACGTGTGTTTGGTTGTACCTGCTTTGTTTTGTTTTCTAGTGTTCTTTGTACCAAACTTTCTACCTGTTTAGCTTTATGTGTATTTCTAGGTTATGGTGAGGGTCAAAAAGGGTATCGTTGTTATGATCCCATCACCCACAAATTTTATGTCTCTCGTCATGTTGTCTTTATGGAGCATATTCCCTTCTTTTCAATTCCATCTAGTTCTTCCTCATTGAATAAGTCTGATCTGCTATACATTGATCTCTTTCCTACATATGTTCTTCATGACACATATGTTGGTGATTTACTTGTGTCAGATCCTTCATCTTATGAGTCGACTATTACTCGTCCCCCTATTGTACATACATATGTTCGCAGGACTCCAGTTATCTCCTCTCCGGATGCAATGCCTCCCTTTTCCCCTCCGGCCACCCAATTAGGTTCAGACACTGTGAATCATACCCCACACTATCCTCAGCACTCTCGCAAATGTCCCGACTGGTTTGGTTGGAGTAATACTTGTTATTCTTCTGACTTTTATTCTTTCCTTACTTCTATTCATTCTCTATCTGAACCCACCTCCTACCAGGAGGCTTTACTTGATTCACTTTAGAAGCAGGCTATGGATGAAGAGTTGTTTACCTTATATAAGACCAGAGCTTGAGAGCTAGTGCCTTTACCGCATGGTAAACGCACCATTAGTTATAAGTGAGTTTATAACATAAAAACCAAATCGGATAGTACTATGGAACGATATAAAGCTTGATTAGTAGCCAAGAGATTTGCTTAGGAATATANTAGGTTTAAGTTGTGTATTACAGACTTGCTTTATGAATAATATATTCTTTCTTACTATTTTCTATTCTCATTGATCAATTTTATCAACTTTATAAGTAAAAGTTATTTTTTGTAGTTTTAAAGAGTTATGAGTTAAAGTCCTAATGTAAAAAGAGTTATAATCACTACATAGACATAGGACACCGATACAAACATCATTTTGGTCACGATTACTAAATGATATACAAATGGTAAACATTTCTTATATGGAAGTAATTCAATGCAAAATAGGGTAACGAAATTGAGACTCGTTGAAATTGAATGAAAATTAGGGTCACGAAGTGGGATGTTTTAGTTTCTATTTGATGATTTTGTGATATAAACCAGTAGAATTATAGAAAGGATCTTATCTATATATCTATATATATATATATATATGTGTGTGTGGGTGTGTGTGTGTGTGTTATATAATGAATACATAATATTTAACATGTCCCCCACATGTTTGTGTCTTACTTTTTCAAATATTGAGTCAATGTGTCTGTATCGTGTCATATCGGTGTCTAGAGTCTATGTTCGTGCTTCTCAAGTTTGGTGAGAAATTATCAGAATTGTAATACTACCATGATAGTAAATATTACAAGAAGATTTTATAGGTTTAAGAGGAAAAAGTATAAAATAAAATTATATAAAAATAAAGTTCAAAGAAAATTTACATACTTGACACTAAGTGAACTAATCCAAATCACTACAATTTATAGCCCAACACCCCTTTTTCAAAGGTTAGAAAAATTGACAAATAATCAAAGGTATTTATATAGAACATATTAAATTTGAGAAAATAAGTTAATTTTCTGTATAGCTAGTCCATAAGTTTATCTACACATGCATTTCCCAAACTTTTTTTAGTCAAACAATAGAGCTCCCAAATTAGACAAATTCAAATTATTTGATGATTCAGAATATATCCGGGGAATAAAAAATAATTAACATGGTCTCTTAATACAGATGCATGAAAGGCATGACATGATATATACAAGTGGCAATCTTACTTTGCATACAAAAGATTTAAGCTTTTTTCCTTTGCACCTTCAAAGATGAGATTTTTCATATTGCACCCTCAATGTATTAAAAGTATTGCAATGTGGTTCTTCCGTTACCTTCCGTTGTTCATTCTGTCAAAACCCACTCAATTGACGTTGATAGAATGAGTAACGAAAACTAATGGAAACTAATGAAAGGGCCACATTGCAACATTTTTAATCCATTGAAGTGCAACATGAGAAACCTAAACTATGAGGGTGTAGAGTGGGAATTCTTAGATCTTTTAGGGTCCAATTCGCCCAATATACAAAGGGAGGTTGTTTTAGTTTGAACCTATTTTGTCTCCTAATCTTTTATATCCCTAGTATTGTAATAACTTTGTAATATATATATATATATGTATGAAGCTAATTTACACCTATTGCTCCTCCTGATTCTAAATATTACCTCGAACCATTCAAGTTTCTTTCAAAACCATCGCCACTAAAAGCTCTTGTAACTCCATCTAATGTATTATGTTCCCAGATCTGATGCTGGCCAGCCATTGCGATATAAACAATTTCATTGACTGGCTCGAAGCAGACATCCCAGGGAGAGTTGAGGAGCTGAAAGAAGAGGAATGAGAACATTTGAAAATATGCACAACTTGGGAGTCTGACATGCAAATTGATTTTTCACATCACTGCCATAACACTCCACAAACTACATCAGCATGTTGATATATGATAAATGGAAGCCCTACTATCACATGCAAACTGACAAGCATTCAAAATTTATGCTGCTCAATCTTGCCTGAGTGGGCCCCTTTCCTCCCCCTTTGTAATCAGAACCTTTGGTTCCATTTCCAGCGACAGTTTGCACAGTCTCATTAACAAAATCAATGACCCTAGGAAATAGAAGTTGAATATATTAGAAATTCACATTAGTATTTTAGACTGATGCTACTAATGTTATACCAATTGAATAGTCCAAAATTTCAAGGTGAATGTAAGCAAATATATGTAACGGAAAAGAAGGATCAAGCGAAACCAGAACAAATAAGTGTAACAACACATAAAACAGCACAGAACATGATTCCTTACATTCTTAGGGGAAGCAGGGAACAACAAGGGACAATGAGAAAGTGGGTATGATTGAATCCTACGTGTGCTGTCTACAGTTGTCTGAAATATTAATATCGATTACAACTTATAATGGAGAATTTCAGTGGTAAAATCCCCAAGACATTTAAGGTTCAAGAAAATTCTGCAATTCTTAAGCATCAAGTAGTATATTGCCTCATTATATCATCAGTGCCTGAATGTTTCCTTTAACATGCTTCTTAAAAATGCCAATTTCAATGGATTTGTTTGCGTGAAGAGTCATGATTGTTTCCAACCAGTTCTAAAACACTTGAGAAAGGTAGTAAACAGCCATTAACGGTGGCTGATGCATCCTACTATGAGATTTCTGAATCAAGGACAGCGCGGTACAAATTTGCAAATGTCAACCAATCAGGTGCGTGGGAAGACTGCAAGGTTACTATCTCGAGGTCCCAAGTTCGATTCTTCCAAAATATCCCTGGTTTACCTTATGCATCTGGTTTGTGGGTGAATGAATGCATCAAGTGTTTTTGTTGTAGCCTTAGTCCAAAGATGTGGTTGAGATGGTTTTCCGTTATCCCACGAAATAGATAACCAGTGCCCACAATTTAAGTTTCTGATGGTATGATATAGATATAAGCACTCAATTATGTCCACAATTTATGTTCAAAACAGTAGTGAATTGAGTTTAACATTGCAATACTTCAAATTTACTGCCGCTAATCTCTCACTTAGGCAAAAACTGATAATGTTTCTGTTTATCCTTAAGGAAACAACACCATTTGTTTATGGAAAAGAAAGACACTGAAAAAAAAATATATATCCATGCTATTCAGATGATAAATTACTAAGACAAAAGGCCACAATTGAACTAACACTACCTTAGAGCATGATTTTCAGTATCTGCGACATACAGGAGGTTCTTCTTTGTGTTGTACGCTAGACCCTAAACAGACATATATAAATTAGGTTGTGTTCTCAATTGACAACAAAAACATGGGATGCTCCAATGAACAGACATACTCCAGACCCAAGATATATTTGACAGGCTATGGTTCCAAAGAGTACTGAGGTTTAAAATACCTGTGGGCGATTGAAGGTGGCATCATCAAAGTTACCATCACGAAAACCCTCCTCACCTGTGCTCCCAATTTGAACAATACAATTTCCACCTAGGTCCGTGACTACCTGAAAATCAACATATGATAAGGATTGTTTAATGCAAAATCTCGGAAGTCCAGCATTAAATCAGATTCAAATGTACCAACACCATTATAAAGGCAAAATGAGGAACAAAGAAACCATATATTAAGTGAAATGTCAAGAAGCTTGAGGTTCATTGTATAGCACAATGGCAAAAACTCGACTCCAAATTAACAAGAATATTTATAATTTGATTAGAGAATATCTACAGCAAAAGTAATAATAAAAAGGTAGCCCAAAATAAATTTTAACCTTATCTGAATCAGAAATTTTGTATCAATAAAGGTTGAAAAGCATCCGTCTTTCGGAATTCCTAAAAGTATATTAGAAAAAAAGAGAAGTTTTCATTCACATATTTTTTTTGAGGTTGTTGCTACCTGTCTTTTACTTTATTTATATTTTCTTTCCCATGATTTCTGTAGTTACAAACAAGGAAAAGGTGAAATATGGAAAACTTAAAAGACTAGTGCTTTTTCTCGATATATATACAATACACATATATATATATATATATATATATGTTTATATACAGACACATCAAAATGCACAAATTTACTACCTCATATGATATTGTAGTCCATTCTACATCAGTGCCTTTAGGCAATACTGTCGTTTTTATGTTCCTCCCACACCACTGGGATTTGAAAGAGTAAAAATTATGGAGAAAAACATCGTGCTGAATAACTTACAGCAACAACATGAATATAATCTACAATTTAGGAATTCTGAGTAGGACTTTGCCACCNATTTACTACCTCATATGATATTGTAGTCCATTCTACATCAGTGCCTTTAGGCAATATTGTCGTTTTTATGTTCCTCCCACACCACTGGGATTTGAAAGAGTAAAAATTATGGTGAAAAACATCGTGCTGAATAACTTACAGCAACAACATGAATATAATCTACAATTTAGGAATTCTGAGTAGGACTTTGCCAACATTTCCTTGCTGTCAGAATTCAAACCCAGTGTGGACTTTGATCATAGAAAATTGCAGATACTGATGCATCCAGACTTTGAATAAATAAGACGGTCTATTTTTCTTTTCTTTCTCTGACAGGGAAGACCCCAATATTAAGAAGTAGTGAATTGCAAAGTAGGCATTTACCACATGACTCATGTCTGTAGATAACAATACTTCAAGTTTAAATCAGCCATAAAAATGTAACAAAGATGTGCACCAAGGTAGGCCTAGCTAGTTGAGATAGAGAGAGAGAGAGAGAGAGAAAGAGAGAGAGCTTACTATTCGGTTATGGTTACTATCTGAAAGGAACAGCCGATTGTTGAGGACATCAACCGCCAGCTTACCGGGAAACTTCAAAGGGGAAGTTAATATGCGGGAATCATTTTCCTTCTCCAAACTCAATGGAATAGGGGTGTTATCCAACATCTTCTTTCTTCCATAGAACAGAAAAGCTGCCTCTACTAAATCGTCAAGATCCTTAGGGGTGGGGGAAGAGAGTAACAAAAGAAACAAGTTTAATCATATTTTTATAAATTAGAGTCATTTGATTATGCCATCGATGATGTACATAAATAAGCCGCAAGAAGCCATATGTAATGGTCTAAGGAAGAAGAAAAAAGAAACAAATTAGAAGAACGTGATTCCTAATTTATAGCTTTTTGTTGTTCGTTTTTGAAATCTGTTATTTTAACTTCTTAGGATAAGGATAAAATATATATTCACATGTAATAATTAGTCTTTACTACTTTTCAGAATTTTTTATCAAACTTTTTATCAATTCGGTAAAAAATATTTTCAGCCATTGTAAGCATAAGTGCACAAGCCATTTGGAAGGTGGAATAGTAAAAGGCTGAGACAGAAAACCACAAAAAAAGTAGGTTCAAGTCCAAAAGCAGCTAGTTTGTGGAAATGAAACTAAAGGTTAGAAGTGTCTCCAGTTTATTCCTCCCAACCCGTCCTCTAGGAACCAACAACTAATAATGGTTTACAAAATTGATCGATATAGCTGCTGAAGTTAGAGAAAGACCAGTACCTTCCGGTGACCTTCACCTGATATTTGTGCAAGAAGCTTACCATTAGGCCCAACAATAGCAAATGTTGGCCATGAAGTTACACCTAACTCTCGCCATAAAAACATATCTCCATCATTGACAACCTGAGTATTAAATAAGGTTAGCAAGTTTCACTTGAAATGAGTCGACCACAAGACAAAAGAAGCTATGACAACTGAAAAATAAGACAACCAGTGTTAGCTGACAACAAGTATGCAAGGATTTAGGATTTAGGATTTCTTCATTGTCCTTGAAATCTAAAACAGAAAAAANACAAAAGAAGCTATGACAACTGAAAAATAAGACAACCAGTGTTAGCTGACAACAAGCATGCAAGGATTTAGGATTTAGGATTTCTTCATTGTCCTTGAAATCTAAAACAGAAAAGAAAAATTGTGTTGCAATTCTTCAATGTCCTCTAATGCATAACTATCTCACACACAGAAGTATAAGTTAACAAGTTGTGTTGTCATTTATTTGATTAAGTATGATGGTACTTATCTAATTTATTACTCTTAGATAATTTAGAATAATTTGTTTAGAGTGATTCAGTTAATAAGTAATAAATTCAAGGAGTAAGAACGTTATTTTGGTTCCTTGGCTGTAACTTTTTTTCTTATTGTTTTCCTCCTTTGTCATCCTTGGTCACATCTTGTTGGTGGTTGATTCAACCTAAATAAATCAAGTGCATGTAACTTATTTCTGCATTTGGAGTTTGACTGTTTCAGTTTGCAAAGAATTGATTATGGAACCTGAACGTGCCCCCAATCCTCTAAATCCTTCCATCTCCAAAAAATGAAAGATTATATAATGGCATCATAATATAAACCAAAACACGTAAAGCCTTCTTGTACAACAAATTCATGTTAGATTTAAGGATAAACTGAAGTTGAAATTCGTAAAACATCTGAAAAGAAAGATTAAGGTATTCAATGGTTAATCTTAAGTGAGGAAATAGAGATGGTATCGCCACCAAAATTTCAAAAAGGATATTCTTGAATAAGATGACAGAGGCATTTATACAGATATTTATTGAGTAGTTGCAATCTTACACAGTTTATTCTTGATGAGATACCTGACAAGCTAGGAATGGTGCTCAATAATATCCCCTCAAGTACCATTTAAAATGTTCAAAAATTTTGCACTTACGAAACCATCTCTTAACTATGCCAAAAACTTTACACCAAATTTGTTCCTCCATTATACAATGGTATAGTGTGAGCAATATGCAACTGCAAGTAGATGTTACAAACCACATATCCCGATATGCATTAACATAAGTAGAAATGAGTAGAAAGACTACTTCTAAGTGTGAATAGAGCATGAATCCCGCGCTGCAAATTAAATGCACCCAAGGTTTGTGTATATAATTGAGGGGCTACTCCACCCGTTGCCTTTTAGTTTTGGGTTGGATGCTCCAAAGTGGTATCAGAGCTGGGCTTGGCTGGTGATGGGTTTAGTCTCTCACTTGGTTGAATTCTCAGATCTGTTTATCTGCCTATTTCAATTTAGGTCCAATCTGTTTGTTTGCTGATTTCAGTTCGGTTTGTTACCCCACGTGCAAGCCCAGGTCGCAAGTGAGGGTGTGAAGAGAGCTTTTATCCTACATTGAAAAATTAAGGGCACTCAAGCTTGGTTTATATAATTGAGGGGCTACTGCACCTATTGTCCATTGGTTTTGGGTTGGATGCTCTATCACAAAGAACATGTATACATGTGATATGTAACTAATTGCCATAGCTGGTCAACATAAAATTCAAGGTTATTGAGAATATATCAAACCAGACAAGGCCTGTGCATGGTTCAATGCAAGGCCTCTTCAGTAACTCCCTAGGAAGACGCCAATTAAGTAAACGACCATATTATTCATGTGCCAAGTAAGTGAAGGAAAGACAATAATCCTTCAAAAAGAACTGCAACAAAACTTTAGTTCTACAACACCTAAAACTGCATCAACAAACATCAAGGTCAACTTACTGGGTGAGTGATGCCATAGCGTAACACAGCATTGCGAATTGCTTCTAAGTCTTTCTCGTTGTCAAACTTTGCAGAGTGCACACCTATAACAGTGAACTGCAAAGACAAAACCACATATGAGACTACATATGGCTCAATAATTTGAATATTTAACCAATCAGAAATCAATCAGTTATAAAGCAGATGCAATATGCACATATGTTTGCTGCTGCAAAAGAAGAGCATCACCATAGAAAGGTTCTGACATGTTTCATGCACATTTGCGTAAGGCAAGCAGCACCATGGGAAGGTTCCATCATAGTTGTCAGTGGCACTTTTTGATTTTGTCCTATATTCACCCTGATCTTGCCACGCTAATTTAAAATATTTGTCATTCCATGTTATGACCACAACACAAGTCCAATAACTTTTCAACTGTGTATAGGCCGCAAGTTTAAGCGGGCTGACAAAAGGCTAGCTAAATTACATATAGAATTGACAATTGGGGTCAGATTTCAAATTGGATTGGCTGGCCCTAGGCCAAAACTTACAACCAAATGAAAATTTATGGACTGGGAAATGGAAACTGGAGTTAGGACTCATTAAGGTTTATCTCAGAACTGATGTTTTTTCTTTTCGTTCAGAATATAGGTTTATTGTTGATATCACTTTATCTCAGAACCATTTCTTCTACTTTCAGTAATGGAGTACAATTACATGAGATTATGGGTCCTCGTCAAAAAACCATTTCATTAAGATTGCATCATAGTGGAGTATTAGAATTTTATAATTATCAGTATCTTATTCTATTTTATATTTAGGAATGAAAGTAGCACACCGAATGTAACACAAAACAGAAAAAGTCTTCAACAGGTTATGTAACAAGAGACTGAATAAGTTTTTGACAGAGTATGAGACAATAATGCCTGCCACTTCATGGTGGCTAGTGCTCTAGTGATAACTTGTTAATGCTATGCACATTTTTCTAACACTGTCACACGTATTAGTAATCATGAATTTGTGTGAAACAAAAGTTTCGTTATACCGCCACACAAACTTATGAAGCAAGATTAAGGAACAAACAACACAGCAATAAAGGTAAATATAGGGAAACAAAAACAAAAGTACGAACATCACCCAACTGAAATTTTTCAGTGATCTGTCTGTCTGTCTCTCACTTTCTCCCCCCC